TGAAAACATCTTAATAAAATGATTTTAAAGGGCAGGAACCAGTGTTTACCAAGCACCTACTATACATCGAATACTGTGCCTGCTATATATATTTTTAGCATAATTTTATTTGATCCTTAAATAATTCAGTAATGGTAGTGATTCTCTCCCTATTTTGCATGTGAGAAATTGCTTAAGGGTACCCAGTGAATGATAAAGCTTATATTTGAAATCCAAATCTATTTCTGCCACATTATTTGTTGATCATGAGAGGTTTTTAGAGAGGAGAAGAATGAAGGGTAACTACTAACTAGAAGATGCAGCATTGTGTGAACTAAAAAAGTCTTGGAATTTGGCTTTTGCCGTTTTTCTCACTGAGATTTTCAATTTCATTTATAACACATTTTCCTAATTTATACTTAATCATCCATCTTTTGTTTAAGCTGCTTGTTTATCAAAATCAACAAAAAAAATGTTGCAGAGTGATATAGCTGAAAGAGAAAAGTTTGTCAATCCTGTAATATTTTTGAAGTAGAAATATAAATGTTATCTTTAAAAAGAAGTTTAACATTAGTCATCTGGTTTGTACTTTTAGATCAAAAAATAAACTTTAATAGGAAAGCCAGCATTTAAATCTAGTGATCAGCAAAATTAGTGTAATTTGTTAAATGTAAGATAATGCAAGACACTTGATTTAAGATACAACTAAAACTAGGAATAAAATCACATCAGACCTGTTTTTTTTTTGACCTGTTTTAACATATCATAATCTTGTAAGAAAGTAATATTTTAGAGTTTTATAATACAGAATATTTAGCACTCTGTGTTGAATGCTCCCTGATAGGTGATTGAACTCCCTCTAAAATGGAGAACATAAATAGGTTCATTGTTAATTACATGACATTTTAGGTGATGTAGCAGTACATTTTCCTGGAGATAGATTTGGAAATACTGCAGTAGAAACTGATAAGACCATCTTCTGTTCTGAAAGATGGAGCAAGCCTTCCAAAGTGGCAGTGTGTAAGTCCCTAGCTGAGACCATTTAAAGAAGCCTGTGTTCTAGGCAAATTTGCCTTCAGAAATGTTATTCTGGTACTAAAAACATGTACATGTGAACAATATCTGCCCCCTACCCACCAGCAAAGGGTATCAGATATAATCTTATATACAAATAATAATTTTTTATCCATAAAATCAGTAAGAGATATTCCAAATAAGTCAACACTGATTAGTGCACATGTTGCTGCAATGTGAATGTCAGAATGAATTTAATAATGTTGGAGGGAGTAGGTATATCCTAGTTTCTTGAAACTTAGATGCAGAGAAGGTGTCATAAACTCCAAATATTTTTGTGATTATAACCTCAGAGGAGTGAGATTTATTGAGAGCCCTTTTATCTGTTTTTTGTTGTTATAAATAACAACAAAATAAAGAGAATGGTAAGTGGAAAGAGTCCTAAAAA